AAATAATCGAGTCCGGACCAAAATCCAGTGATTAATAACGTGCATCGTTCCACTCAACTGGGATACGACGACATGCATGAACTAAGTCAGCGAGCCTGACCACCGGATCCCGTTAGTCGCCTTTTACAACAAGCATGGGTTGCTGAAGACCTATTCTACCCCGGATCTTCACAACAAGCATGGGTTGCTGAAGACCTATTCTACCCCGGATCTTCACGGGTTTAGACACCAATGAATGCCATCTGGACATGATATGCAATCAACAGAGTCATTAGTCACAAGGCTTGACCACCAGGTCCAGATTCCCTCTTTCGACCAACACTGGAGTGTAAAGCCCCGTTCTAGACTAACATCTAGTCTCTGAAATGAACATATTTTACTGATGATAACCGTCGTAAAATTTTAGCTATCAAAACATATTAAAAATGAGCCCAGAGACTCTCTTCATTTTCAGATACTGCAGACACAGACACTCAGACACAGACGCACATATCGCCACAGACACACACACACACACAGACAGACAGACACACAGACAGACACACACACCTATACCTGCCATGACATAATCACTGTGCCTGTGGATTGTAAAACTGAGTTGTCTCCCTGCCCAGTGTTGCCCCATGTCCCTCTCATGAAGGACAAAGACAGTGCTCATGCATGGTAATTAGCGAGTGTAGTTTAATCTTGGAACCTCCATGAAATATTTACGTGCAGTAGATTGCCAGGAACTTCACATGCAAGCTAGGCATCAGAATTACTTACTGGGAGTTGGGAGTAGACAGGCCATGAATCATTAATGCAACTGTGGTTGAGATTCAGGGCACTTTCTGCAAGGTGTTTTGAGGGACGAAATTTAACTCATAAAAAAAGTGAAGTGACAGTTCTATTACCATACAAGGTTATAAATGGCAGTTGTGTACATGTAATTGATTATTTATGTATTTCAGCATGTCATATACATAATGTTGTTTTTTTTTTGTGGTTTAAGCTTTCATTTTCAAAGGTTGTTTAAACTTTTATTTTCAAAGGGAAACATTAAAATAAGTGAAAATATAATTTTACATAACATTGAATGTGTTAATATGAAAAGGTGTGAAATGATTCAATTGGCATATATGATTACATTCTGATATATGTCCTTATTATGGTAGCATCAAATGTTCTCGCATGTTCAACAAACATTCAGTGATCAACTAAACTTTTAGCAATGACAATGTGTCCAGATGGACATGCACCTTATAAGAATACAACTCCATGCTACAACACATACAGCACCATGCTACAACACATACAACATGACCAGTAGGGCTGGGATGGGTATCTCGGGGACACAGGTCAGGTGGGTACTGAGTAGGACCTAGGTACCCACAGGATCTCACAGACCAGTCACACAAACAAAAACAATAAAACTCCATGGTTACATTACACTAATGTTTGCATTTCTTTCTGACTATGCACATATTCCTTCTGACTTTTATATTTTGGAACAAAGATAAAGCTTCAGTCAATTTTAATGTATGCATGATCAGATCATTTTATACGTATATCTAAATATTTATTGCCAGGGTTCTAGAAAAACAATTCCCAATCAGACATTTTGTACCCAACACAATTCAGCGGGTACTGAAGTAGGGTTGGTTATAAGGGGGTTAGGGTGCCCAGGTAGGAAACTTTGACTTGTCCGAACCCTAATGCACAGGGCAATGCTCAAAATTAAGCAGAAAAGTCAAGGTGTACTTGTCATAACTGTAATATTAAGAGTCAAAGATTTAAGGGATCCTAAAATTAAAACACTACAGAACACTTCAAAGACCCCAGACCCCCATTAATTTTGAACATTGCAAGGTGATACTTTGTTTTTCTCAACTCTGCCCTACACATCTCATCCTACCGTATACGTTGGGGCATTCACCCAGATAATGCATGTTTACTCATCCACTCTTACAAAGGCATTCACATAATCAGTTCCTTTAATGAGTTCAATATTAACACAATCTTAATTATATGCTTTGAAAGAGTTTCAATATATACTGCTGTTTATCAATTCATATATCCATGACACAATTAACAGAAATATCTGACACATATCAAGTACTGTAAAGGATATTTCTATCAAAAGGATGTACCCTGGTTTTCACATGCAATCCAACTCAACTTAACTTCATCTGTACATTTTTCGTGTTGATACAAACGATGTCTCGTGTTAATACATTCTACCTAAAAGTCCTTATATTGAGAAGCAAGCACTCATTTATTGTCATCAATTCCAAATATGAATCTTTTAAAAGTACAGGAAACGTTATGAATGTTCTTAAACAGTGTGAAAGAGTGACCTCAATCTTATATTTCAGCTTGGCAAGCATGAATCGTGACAAGAGGTGAAGAGTTGTCTCCCTGTCATGGTATCACCCAGTAACAACAAAAATGGCTCACTGTTGTTTGTTTGTTGTTTTACACTACACTCTGCAATATTCCAGCTATGTGATGGCGGTCTGTAAATAATCAAGTCTGGGCGAGAGTCAGCGAGTCTGACCACCCAATACTGTTATAATAGTTGCCACTTACAACAAGCATATAGTTGCCTTTCATGGCATGGATCTTCACGGGATCTTCACGAATGACTCAAAAAATTTGATAAATGAGTGTAAAGATGTTTATTCTACTTTCGCAGGACACCAGAAAAAGTCATCACACATTGCACCCATTGCATTATCCTTCATGATATCCCACTGGTTTATAAGTAGCACAATGGTAAACTGGGGGTGTCATACAACACATCCCAAAACATATATCATTATCAAACTCTAGTCCAAGGTTGATAATGGAGGTCAGACAAGAGTGAATTCCTGAAAAATGTATTTTGTACAATTTCGGCACAGCACTTATCAAATGCCCAAGATGACAATGCAGTCGATATGTGTCATTGTCAGCTAAACTTTCATATTGAAATAATTCAACATGCTGAAGGCACCTGCCAAAATTAATCTTCTGTGGCAGAGGCAGCTACAGGAAAGGTTACTCCTGAACATAATTTGAAGGAATTTAGGTCCCACTGGAACCAAGAGTTTGGTCTATTCCTGTCTGGATTAAATTCTCCGGTGAACTTATCAGCGGAACAGACACATGATCAGGCATTTAACTTGGTCTGTCAGTCTAGTCCACGGGACTTGTTGGTATGTTCTGGTCTCAGGGATGAAAGAGGGGGTCGATGGCTAATTAATGTGCTCGACAGGCAGACCATGTGGCACACTATACTTGACTTCCAAGGATATTATAACGCCATGATGCTCTACAAGAATGGAAGCCCTATGTTGAGTGTACATTGCTTGGTTGAAATGAAATAAGTGACTGAGTGAAGGAAACTGAGAATGGACAGTCTGAACTTCAATTTCCATCAGGATAGAACTATCACTTTGATTTAAAATGTATCCTACAACCGAATCAAATGTAATACTTTATGCAACCCTACATGTGCGTGAGTGAGTAAGTTCATCTTAATTGGGTTTAACGCCGCTTTTAACAGTATTCCAGTTATATCACGGCGTGTCAGCTTAATGTGGGAGGAAAGCCTGAAGTGATGCAGGTCTCAGACGTTTACTACTTCGGCGAAACCCACGAGCACGGGTATGGTGCTGACAAACCTAGAAACATAATCGGGGCGAACCGGGATTTGAACCCACAATCATAGGTTTCTGGCGGTGCCCAAGGACGCAAATCTGCATAGCGAATCACTGCGCCTTAGACGACTAGGCCACCCGTGCCCCCCCCCCCCCAGCACATGTGTGTGAGCAATGGGGATCAGAACATAGACCATATGCATCCAGTTTTTAATACGATGTGTATAATACACAGTATTGTGAGTCTGATGAAAGCCTGTATGATAGGGGGCTGACAATTAACACACTCTCTGAATCAGGACCCACCGGTGAAGACCCACAGCACTGAATTCACTGAACTGAGTAAGTACTGACCCCAACACAGTGGTAGCTGTAGTTCATATAAGTGGAGTCATCCAAGTCTTGTCTCATCCAGCATTCTACAGGAAGCCATCATACTACTACTGATATGAACATATTAAGGCTCTGACCTACATTAATACATACTTCATGAGTCGACCTAGATCTAAACATACATGGAAATTAGGTGCAGCCATCAAAACACAGATAAACACCAACTGACTTGAGTTATCCCTACAACAGGTTTTGGGCTGGGGCTGCCTGATTGCCTAGTTATCCATACAACACATTTAGGCTGATTTCAGTTATCCATACAACACATTTAGGACTGGAACTGCCTGACTGAATGCAGTTATCCATGCAACACATTTAGGTTTGGGCTGCATTTCTGACTTCAATTATCCATACACTATTTTTAGGTATGGGCTGTATGACCGACTTCAGTTATCCATACATATTTAGGTATGGTCTGTATGACCAACTTCAGTTATCCATACAACACATTGAGGCATGGGCTGTATTTCTGACTTCAGTTATCCATACAATGTTTTAAGGCATGGGCTGTATGACTGACTTCAGTTATCCATACAACACATTTAGGCATGGGCTGTATTTCTGACTTCAGTTATCCATACAATGTTTTTAGGCATGGGCTGTATGACCAACTTCAGTTATCCATACAACACATTTAGGCATGGGCTGTATTTTTGGCTTCAGTTATCCATACAACACATTTAGGCATGGGCTGTATGACTGACTTCAGTTATCCATACAACACATTTAGGCATGGGCTGTATTTCTGGCTTCAGTTATCCATACAATGTTTTTAGGCATGGGCTGTATGACCGACTTCAGTTATCCATACAACACCTTCTTTTTAGCAAGTGAATACAGCAAGTTGATATCTGGTTCAAACTGGCAAAAACACGCAGAGAAAGCCATTTTTTCATAAAACAGATCAAAGACCAGCAAACTGTACAGCATGGTAGGGAATGATTTCAAGAAAAATAGAAAATGGCTATAACAGATATGGTGACTTACCACTTTCTCCTCTGCCATGTCATCTTTGCCAGCAGTCTTCTTTTTCTTCTTGGACTTGGGTGTGGACAGGTCAGAGTCTTCCTTCTTGTCATCAGGCTGCAGAAAACTGGACTCCCTGGATGTGGAATCCTTGTCCTGTGTTAGACATACATATCATTACTGAGTAACAGAAAAGATACATGCTGCTCTAGAAATAGTAAACATTCTGCCACTAGAACAGATTCAGTATTTATTTTTCCCCACAAAAGTCACATCTTTTTTAACAATGTGCAAAAGTTTTGACTTATCAAGATAAAAGGTAACAAAAAAGTCTGTACAAAAAGAATAGCCTCCTATATCTCTACATTAAGTTATTCATAAAAACAACAAAATCCCAGATCTTGTGCTCCTTTTTTGTAGAATTTTCCTATTCGGAATATTCTATAAGTAATACGTTACCACTCTTATACTGAGGCTGTTGTCTCCAACAACTGCCCTTATAGCGAAATCTTCCACAGAGATCTCAATTACCTCATGCAGCACGTGCGTAGCCACCTAGCTGCCATGTGACACCCTTCACTCTTGTCTCTAGCGAGAGCAAGTGCTCGGGGGACGGACGGGCGGACAGCAGCCCAGTGGTAACGTATTACTTATAGAATATTCCGAATAGGAAAATTCTACAAATTACATTAAGTAATACGTTACCACTGTTATACCGAGGCTGACTACCACAGTAGGCAGTGGGGAGCACCTACAACCCGAAACCTGACTGCTCGTTTTCCTTCCGACAAGCGGAAGTAAACAACAAGGAGGAAGTACATAATTGTCAATTCAAGCAAACACACAGAAAGCTGCACTCACCTGTGGATGAGCACGCTGGCTTGCGGGACCCCCACTCCCGTACCCATGGCTGTGGGAACATTGGAGACGACCCAGATTGACCACCGTGCAAGGTCTGAAGACTGAGGAGTTCGGAATTGCCTGTGGATGAGCGCGCTGGCTTGCGGGACCCCCACTCCCGTACCCATGGCTGTGGGAACATTGGAGACGACCCAGATTGACCACCGTGCAAGGTCTGAAGACTGAGGAGTTCGGAATTGCGCTGGGCACACCCCTTAGATGACTGCTTGTGCCGCGATCAGCGGCCCAAGACGGTGCACACCCTCCATGTCTTCATCAGAAACCTTTCTGAGGTAATGATTGGCAAAAACCGAGTCAGAACGCCAGTAACAAACCCGCAATATTCTGTGAACAGATATATTGGAGTGTAGGGCAAATGTTGCCGCTAGTGCCCTAATCTCGTGCGGGTTTGACCCCGCAACCGGTAACCCCCGAGCCTGGTACGCCAGATTGATGACAGAATGAAGCCATAACGCAATCGAGTTGCGAGTTATGTCAGCAGTCCGATTAGGGTTACACGATATGAACAGACGGTCTTGTCTGCGTTCATTCGAAGCCTTAAGATAATACTTAAGGGCCCTAAACAGACACAGCGATCTGTCCTCGGTATCAGCAGGATGTAAGATTTCTTTGAGTGATCTTACAGTGAATTCTCTCACTGTTTGGCCAAACTTCTGATTCTTAGCGACGAAGCCCATGAGCAGGCCCAGGCGGACCGCTCCTTCGTCGCCCCTATCGAATCGTACTTTTGTGACATCGAGTAAGTGAACCTCATACACTCGTGCCGCCGTGGCAAAGGAGAGGAGAAATGCTGTTTTCCAAGTCACATGCCGAAATGAAGAATTTTTCAAGGGTTCATACGGAGCTTCCGTAAGCGATTTCAACACCAGGGAAAGATCCCAGGCAGGAGCCCGAAAGCGACCTTTTTTAAGATCTTGCTGTTTGAAACCCTTGATAATACCCCGAAACGCCGTCTCTTTTGAGAGACTGGTACCCATAGCAACGTCCTGTACCGTAGCAACGGAGGAGACAAAGTTGGCAATGGAACCCCGGGAGTTTCCGGGTCTCTTGTAAGTGAGGCATGAAACAAGCAATATCCTGCACTGATACCTTATCTAGCGAATGAATGTGATGTTTACAACAACACTTCGTGAAAATAGCCCAACGTGCATTATACACCTTCTTGGTAGAATCACGATGCATACTAATGCATGCCCGAGACGCCCAACGAGAAAAACCTTTACTCCTCAGACGCTCGGTGACGCGTGCATCCATGCGTGCAGATTGAAGCTGACGGGTGTGAGGGTGGATCAGGAGATCCGGTCTCACAGGCAGTGGAAGTGGCGACTGCGTGACCTGGGCCAGCAAGTCGGGGTACCACGATCTGTTTGGCCACATGGGCGTGATCAGTAACATTTGACAGCGAACTCCTCGGAGCCGGCTTAGAATGAGTGGTATTAACGCCGTTGGCGGGTAAGCATAAGCGTCCATGCCCGTCCGGTCTAACGAGAGAGCATCTTGATCGATGGCCCTCGGGTCCGGAACTGGCGATACAAACAACGGGAGTCGACCAATCGGTCGACCATCGAACGACCCAAACGTTCGCACAGCCACTGAAACACTACTGGGTTTAGCATCCACTCCGTGGGGCTTGGATCCTGAGGCCTCGATAGAGCGTCGGCCAGTACGTTCTGCACACCGGGGATGTGACGGGTGCGTACCTGGCACGTGACACTGTCCACCAGAGCGTAAAACTCGAATGTGAGATTGAGTAGCGAGTGACTGTGGGTTCCCCCCAGTTTGTTCACATAGGAAGCTACTGTCGTGTTGTCGGTCGCCAGCATGAGCCGGGCGTCGGTCTCTGTCTGTGTGGGAACCTTTGACCAGACTGGCCGCCGCAGCCAAGTAGGTGTCGCCATGTGACATAGCGAGCATATAGTGCAGAGAGAGGGTGTCCATTTGCGGTAAAGTCGCCTCAGGGACTGTAGCAGCAGGTGGGGCATGGACCCCTAACCTCTCGACATGGACCTCCGCGGTGGGACCTGCCTCGGGGAAGGCCAGGTCATGCACCGGGAGCGAACCCTTTCTCCATGACAGAGGAGGTAACATGAGTCCCCGACCGGAGGCCGCCGCGAAGGCTTTCTCCAAAGACGGCTTGATCCCGCACAACAAAGTTGACGCGAGAAAAAGCCTTGTCGGCGGACTCGTCGAAAACCTCGGTGGAACCCACAGAGCCATGGATTCCCCGGGGTACCGGCTAGGGCCGTGTCATGTCCTCAAAGAGGTCATACACCATGGCAACACGGTCCTTAGCCGATAACGGGAGTATCGGCTCGGGGGAAGGACCGGTGACCACAGGAGCCGCCGCCGTACCCGTGGACCCCGTTTCGAATCCGCAGCCACCGAAGGGGCGGGGGCCAGAACAACCAGGGCCTTATCCTGAGATAAGGCCGCCAGTTTGGAATCCACCAGTTTAGCCAATAAAGCTGCGACAGAATCCCCGGACAGCCCAAGGGCCACCAAGGGATACGCTGCCGTGGAGGTAGTGCCCGCAAGGGGCGCCGACCGGACGAACCGGCCACCTCAGGGGTGATAGCAGAGCGCACGTAGCGCCTGTATCGCGCAAAGTCCTCCGGCCCCAGACCCTCGCACTGGGTGCACCGGTGTCCTCGCAAGGAACCCTGCACCGCGGGCAACGATCGTGAGGATCCCGAGAAGACAAAAACTTCTGACAGGCCCCGCAGCGCCTGTTTACAGGAGTAGCATGGGTGCTGGACAAAATGTACAATTCCATGTCCGAACAAAAAACAAAACATGGTTACAACACACACACCAAACATATTCGCAAACATATTTTTTTTCGAAAGAAAAACAAACAATAATTGCGAATACATAAAATACATATAATAGAACATATATATATTAATAGGTGATGCAAAAAAACCCCAAGATATACCACTAAAGGTGGACGGAAGACACGAAGTGCCAACGTCACACCCTGTTAGTAGCGAAAAAAAGGCGGGAAAATTTTCCAAGCGCCGTATAACGAATGCCCCATAAATTACGGTTTACTTAAGAGTAAGAAACAGTAATAAATATCACCAAAGGATTGGCAGAAGGCGGAAAACTGGAACGTAGAGGAAAGCAAGCAGAGCAGTCACTTTAAACGTCTTGCTAGGGCAAGCGAAGAGACAAGAGTGAAGGGTGTCACATGGCAGCTAGGTGGGTACGCACGTGCTGCATGAGGTAATTGAGATCTCTGTGGAAGATTTCGCTATAAGAGCAGTTGTGGGAGCCTCGGTATAACAGTGGTAAGGTATTACTTAATGTAATATAACATGTGATTGTTTGATGTATAACGCTGCACTATTCAAGCTATATAACAGTGGTGTGTAAATAATCAAGTCTGGACAAGACAATCCAGTGATTGATATTATGAGAAACGAATCACTCTGTTGGGGTACGAAGACACGATAAGTCAATGAGTATGACCACCTTTTCATTACATCTAATGACCAGCATAGGTAGCAGGGTACATGTTCTAAACTGGGACTCCATGGAGTTCTCCTATAATGATACCTTACCTTTGGATGGGACCTGTCTACACCATAGAACTTGAGGACCGCCTGGTCATAGTTGCCCAGTTCCGTGGTCACCTGTTCTGGGTAGGACTTGACAATGTCTGTCTGCTGGTTGTGGAATATCTCGTACCTGAATGTACGTATATACCCCATATATTACTCATCGTTTTTGCACAACACTTTTTCAGGGCATTTGTACTTGTTCTTATTAGAACCATTTACATTTTTCAATCTGTGCCAAAATCTGCAAAGTTTGCTCCAAATTGTCTCATTAGACATCATTTTGGACTCAGTAGAATATATTAGATCAAATAAATTTTACAAGACTCTGAAGTCAGACTCGTGGGTATTAAGAAACAACTAATGACCACTGTAGACTATTTCTACAGTTTGAGTGATAAAGCAGGGGTGATCATGTTGATGTGCACAAACTATTATATTACCAAACCACTACACATTATACTGTAGAGGAAACATATGATTTGTCAACTTAACCATAAAAAAAAACAGCGTTGACTTAAAAGAGTCATTAGATCATATAAATGCATGAAAGATTAGTTGTCTAGTGGACAGTTAAACAAAGAATTTAACATCCTTAATCTCTACTGTCTAGGTAGGCATGGTTGAGATGTGATGGCTAACTTTCAAATACATGTACACATAATCAACAGCCACACGATCAATGACATTGGAACTTCCTAAGTACTACAGGTGATCTGCAACTTGGATGAGATGGACTGCAAGCCACACTTACGACAGCCTGATTCTCTCCAGCATCTCCAGGGACTTGGCCAAGCTGGCCCTGAGGGAGTCCTCCGAGGCGTCCTGACGCATCCTGTCCATGACAATGTCCAAGTTGGCTTCCCGCTCCTGCAAGAGTTGGTGAGTCAGTGAGTCCAGGAGAGTCAGTGAGTCAATGAGTTGTTGAGTCAGTGTGTTGGTGGGTCAAATAGCCAATGAGTCAGAGTCAGTGAGTCAATGAGTTGGTGAGTCAGTGTGTTGGTGAGTCAAATAGCCAGTGAGTCAGAGTCAGTGAGTCAATAAGCCAATGAGTCAGTGAGTCAATGAGTTGGTGAGTCAGTGTGTTGGTGAGTCAAATAGCCAGTGAGTCAATGAGCCAATGAGTTGGTGAGTCAGTGTGTTGGTGAGTCAAATAGCCAGTGAGTCAGAGTCAGTGAGTCAATGAGTCAGTGAGTCAATAAGCCAATGAGTCAGTGAGTCAATGAGTTGGTGAGTCAGTGAGTCAATAAGTTGGTGAGTCAGTGAGTCAGTTGTTAAGACTTTCAGGTATTTTTATTTATTAAAAAATAACTACCCATCAAAGATGACAACATTATTATTTAAATGTTCCCTACCATCTTGTAAAGCAAACAGATACAAATTTACAGGGAATATCTACTACAGAGGATCCCTATCTTTAGGGAATGATTTTCATGTTTTAATATGTGACCTGAAGACCTGCTTGTTTGTTATTCCAGTCAGCAATATTCCAGCAATATTATAGCAGACTGTAAATAATAAAGTATTGGCAAGATAAACCAATGGTCGATGTCATGAACAACATCCCAAATCATCAGGGTGTGATGACATGTAATCAACCAAGTCATCTAATCTGACCACTCAATCCAATTTAATTCCCTCATAAGAACAGCAATGTTAGCAATTGCCTCTGAGCAATATTCTAGCCATACCATGGTAGAGGAAACGAGACTTCTCATATTTTACCCATGTGGGGAATTGAACCTGGGTTGATTTGGCTATATAAAACATACACAAGTGCACCCTATTTTCGAAAAGTGTAACCTAATACTTGCCAGTCATCAAACTGTGGGTACTTCGAGATTATGTGCAAATGCATGTTCCTATAACGTTTATAGCAATGCATCATTAAATTATGTGGCCTATGTTTCGACTTTATGGGCCCTGGGTGCAACCTGCTTTTGTTTGGTGCAACTTGGTAACATGCACCTGGTCCAAGTTAAATCAAGCTCCTGAAATCAAGCCCTGTGTATATAGTCCACTGTCAATATTTAGGGTATATTCAGAATAGGGATGTTTACTTCTACAGAATGATGATCATGATGATGATGACGTCCACTGACCTGGTCAAGGGTCAATATTCTACAAATAATTACTCTTGAGGGGGTCAATATGCAAAAACAAGGACCCGAGGACCCGCCCCCGTGGTGGTCTGACTGCTGAGGAGGACTCGGGTCCGAGGGTTCTTGTTTTTGCATATTTACCTCGTCCAGAGCAATCATTCATTTTGTCACACTTAAATTCACTTTAAACTTTATGAATACTTTAAATCGTCCTCTGTTTCATTATAGTAACATAGGCTTAAAAAAATAAAGGAATTGGTTCTTGGGCAATGGTTTTTGAAAATATAGTGCAGGCAGGCAGTGTTTTTTCATTTTTCTTGGTTGTACAAACTAGTATGTAACCAATATACAGTTGTGTAATCAATAAAACATTTGTGTACAATCAACTTGAGAAAGAGCCTTCCTACATAAATGTATTCCTTGATGAGTAAAATACTGGAATACGAGTTGGACTTAGAATATTTCGGGATTTTTTATATATCTAAAAAAAAAATGACATAAAAATGCCGCAAACTTTATGATGGTGCAGGCCGTGCCTGAGAACCAAGACTATTATTTTTTTTAGCCTTAGCTGCGAACCGTGAAATGTTCGCACCAGATGCCATCTTGATTTCCTGCAGACGAGTCATTATTCATCACATGACAGTCAATACTGATCATGTGAAGAGTCAATATTCGAGGTCTACCTTGTATTGTTTGTCACGTGGTACGGATTAACCAATGGAATTGCATGTTTCTTTATAGAGGAATAACAATGAGGGTACATTGTTTAGAGGGGGTGTTTTTTTCTACAGTTTGATGATGATGATCACTTACCTGGTTATGATTGTCGTGTTGATGGCGGCAGGCCTCCAGCTTCTCCTGCAGCGCCCTCTCCTGCTTGGCCAGCCCGATCTCGTGGACATCCCACACGTGTGCTGCACCCTGGGTAAACTTGAAAAGGGACTTCGTCTTCTCTTCTATCTTGATGTTGTGATTCTCAATGGCTTTCTGTCAATGCAACACACATATTAAGAATCAAACATACACAAAAACCTGAATGAAAATGGAAATCACCAATTTTTTACAATTTGAAGGGGCTGTGAAATTAATTTGTGTCTGACCTTATGTTGGGACTTCAACAGCATGCATGAAAAGCAAGACAAAAATCTAACTGTTGAACAGTAATAACAACTCATTTATGCACTTTCAGTGAAACCTCTCATCAACAATAGGGCTGTGTATTGGCAATTTTTGTAATTGTAATATATTGTGATATATCGGGAGCTAAAGTGTTTGACAGTAATTGACACTGACTGCACATGCAGGTTCCTATATTCTACAAACTAGAAATGTCAAGGTCAGCATAGTCAGTTGACCACCACCATTTTGTTGTCGTAGATACAGGGGAGATAACTCCACAGAAAAATCACTTATGAATTCCAGCTGTTTTGTCTATCAATTTCGAAGGGAAACATGATTTGTGAATGAATTTCTGTGTAGATTTTACCTTAAATGATTCAAATGGTAACAAAGCTTGTTACATTTCTTTACCCGATACATCAGAACACAGAAAAAACTTTGCAATACATATTGTGTTCGAGTGCACTGGCGATACCACGTTATCCAACAGGATGATGTCTGAACCTGCATGACGTACCTCCATAGTTTCCAGGTTGGACTCCAGGACTCTCTGTCGGTCTCCGACCAATGGCAACATTTTGGCCTCAATCACCTGCTGTGCTTTGGCCTCAGTGCACACACCAGATGCTATCAGGGATTTCTGACAACAAAAAACAAAGTGATTTACTTCAGCATCAGTTAGTCATTCCAATATGAACAGATAAAAGCTGACAACAGATTGGTGCTGTTATACCCAATGGAGGTAACTATTGTTTTCATCAACCTTTGAAACTCTGGCATGTTTCCAAGAAAACAGTCTGTCTGGGATAACATGTAGCATGTCTTATGATTTGTTTGTTTGTTTGTTGTTTAACAACACACTCAGCAATATTACAGCTATATGCTGGCGGTCTGTAAATAATCAAGTCTGGACCAGACAATCCGGTGATTGACATCATGAGCATCGATCCACGCAATTTGGATCGCTTGTCTGACCACCCACTCCCGTTAGTCGCCTCTTACGACAAGCATAATAGCCTTTTACAGCAAGCATGGGTTGCTGAAGATCTATTCTACCATGGATCTTCAGGGGTACATGTCTCATGAAACACCGCCAGACTGGCTCTGGAAGCACCACACTTTGTCTCTCATAGTTTTCATGTAAATAAAAGAATCATTAATAATGTTTTAGTTCTCAACTGAAATGTCAGACAGTAAAGAAATATAAACCTATTCAGTATATTAACTACACAGCATAACATAGAAGACAGAATTGTAAAATACAAACTGGCCAAAAAGTAGGTGATAAGTTTGTCGGTTTAATCAAAGACATTTTGAAAAAAAGATTCCGGCCCTTTTAAACCCTAAATAAACATACACTTTCATGCCAACTGGCCAGTCCCTTTAAAAAGGACATCGGCTGCTCTTAGGATATTGGGCAGGATTGGATTGGACTAGTGCTTGCACGGAGCTGAATGAATATAAGTAGCGCTGTTTTTTTTCAGGTGTCATCTGTCATCAGTACAATATCAACTTAATTTGACATGTATAATAATATTCACCAGCAGGGAAGCATTGCAGCGGGTGTTTGTTTGTGTTTGTGTGCGAGGGTTTCACGCATACCTTCACCGATTCCACATGTTCCAGGCAGGTCTGGCACACACTCTCATACTCCTCATGTAGTTTGCTCATGTGCATCTGGTTCACAGCATCTAGGGAATGGCAATCATGAAATGTACAAGTGTCAATTTCACTTGAACCATGGGAAAGACATACTGAAATTGATTGAGATTAGTAATGACATAAAGTGTAAGGAAACGTCACTGACACAGACAACAACACAGATGGAGGCACAAAACTCCCACCTATTTCCTGTGTAACTATCTTCAGCTGTTGGTTCCACTTATACACAGCTGTCTTGGTGGAGGACGGGGGCTGCATCTCCCTGTAACACACAAAACATGGCTACGTCATTTCCCTCTTACAGACAAAACATGGCTACATAGCTGGAGCCATAGCCGAAGCCACAGATGGAGCCAAAGCTGTAACCATACCTGGAGCCACAGATGCCAATCACAAACTGAGATGGAGATGTATCACTCAAATTTCTCAAATTCTTTAAATCATCACACTTAAACCAGAGATTATAATTTGAGTATTCAATTACTTTGGAAACACCAGTAGTAATCACAGCTACTAGTCTGAATAACTGGCAAACTTTGTCTCTTCACTAAATTATAATAATATGTCCCTTAATCATTTTGGTTGAATTTTGTTCAAAATATGGTAACGATTATGCCATGTAATTGCCGGCATGTGTCCATATTATTCCTTTTAATGGTCATTTTAAGTCAACATCCGTCAAAAGAAGGTAAGTGTTGGGAAAGATGTGTTCACTGACCCGATAGACTCTATGAGCTCCAGCCTCTTGGCGCTCATGATGGCCTGCTCTGCAACCATGAACTCGAACACCTTCTCTACTCCGGGTGGGTTGGTCACAGCACCACTGTTCATGTACTCCCTGAAGGAAGGAACATAAGACAGACATAACATCTTCAAGGAGACCATATAATCAGGTACAGCACAAAACAACATAAAAACATCAACAGCAATATTGAGTCTTGATTAATCCCATGCACATTTTAATCCGTTACGGTGTTAGTTACTTACTTTGAAGACATATATCTTCCAACCTTTCCAATCACATGTTTTTGACATCATGGAATAAGGCTGCTGAATACATATTTTTAATCAAAGAATTCTGCTACATACAGAATACAGAAGTATTATATGATGCACTCAAATCAAAACCTTAACAAGAAAATTGGAATCAATTGAATTTCATTTAACACCAATGCTAAACTTTTACAAAAAGAAAGATTTTGGAATGAAATATGTATTCAACAATATCATTTGTAAACAATGAATTTGAATGGTGAATGCCAATCAAAATATCAAATTTCCTGGCAAGTGAGGCACAAGTTTTATCTCAAATTTCAATCCAACCTACTGACCCTAATTGAATAAAAGTATGAAAAGTTGGATTTTTTTATAGTAAAAGAAACAAAGAACACGAAACATATTTGAATCTAGTTTATTCAATATCTGTGATACATGGTATGACTGTCACAGGTGCTGGATTTATATTTTCTCCTCTTTCTCAAAGTTCTCTGTTGTTTGTTGTTCAAACAACTCTTCTTCCTCCTCCCCCCCCTCTTCTTCCTCCTCCTCCTCTTTTCCTTCTCCTGCCAAGTTCTCCTCCACTACGTTCAGGATGTAGTTGTATTCAGAATGTCTCCAGGTGTCACCGTCAATCTTCTCAGGCAAACTGAAATAGACATGCCATATGCAATGTCAATTTCACTTCTCCAAGTCCAACTGTACAACAAGTTTTAATCAAACTTTACATGAAATCAAGAAGAAATTGTGACTTTATCGTAATATGGTGCATAGCAGTGTCTGTATTTTCGTATCCTGACAGGATTAAGACAGTGTAGATACAAGGACTCACCTGGCCTGTGATGATAGTGTGTGACGGGATCCATGCTCTGGTGATGTACATTGACAGCTGACATGCAAAGTATGTGTCTCATACAGCATGCAAGTGACGTGGCTTTCAGAAACTCCTACTCATATGGAAATCATATGGTGTTTCTCTTGTGAACATGCACATATCAATATGGATGGAAATAAAGAAAAAATAATGGACAATTAAACAACATGTTATTCTTTGTTTGCAAGTTTTGTATCTGCAGGACAAATGACATAACTATTGATTACAAATCAAAATTGCTTCTATTTTAATAGCACTGTGGAAAAGGGGTCACTTAATTATTTGGCCATTAAGCAGGAACGGAATGCTGAATGCTTTCTATTGGTATGTTTTAAATAATGCATGAGAACTTGAGAAAATTAAGTTTGTTTGTTTTAGGGACAAGTCTAACTTCAATCTTACAAAACTGAAAAAAGAACACACTACACATCCCAAATGTGTCTTATTGAGAAGTTATTATTGACATTATATTTGTGGTTAAAACTTTCATTTCATATTCCTTTGAAATAATGCATGCATGCTTCACAGGTGGGCATTTATAGCAGATGACAAAAAAACAACTTAGAGTTATTCCCCCTAGATCTATTAAAGACAAAAATATTGTTAATATCGCGAGAATGGCATCTTACATAATTAATTTGCGATAAAAAAAAAGTTGGTATGTATTTAATGTAATGCCAACAATTCGGCAATTCGAGTGGGAGACATAAGATATGCACCTTACATATCATCGAGGTATCTTAAAAATAACAAACCGGGTCTCAGCCAATCAGAATCCAACTTTCCTGTGTGAGGTCAGATAATCAGCAATGTTAATATCACTGTTCAGGGGATACAGTTAACAGTGGATTTGCTACAGTAACAGATTATGACACCTTATGATGCAATCACAGTACTCACTTAAATTTGGCCACAGCAAGATCAGTGTTGAGTTTCTTCCAGTCCTCAACTCGTCTCCGCCATGTTGAGTGTTGCATCTTCTCTCGCTCTATGTCGGAGGACAGGAGACGGACATTCAGATCAGCATATGCTCGCTTGTTGCTCAGCATGGTCTGGTTGATCATCTGAAGGACATGTTCAGGGAATAAATAACGTGTAAGTGAATGAGGATTTGTGAGTGAGTTGGGTTTAATGCCGCTTTTAACAGTATTCCAGTTATACCACAGCGTGTCAGCTTAATGTGGGAGGAAAGCCCGAAGTGATGCAGGTCTCAGACGTTTACCACTTCGGTGAAACCCATGAGCATGGGTATGGTGCTGAGAATGAGGATGAATGCTCACCTGTGATTCCTTGTCCATAAACCTCTGGAGGTCCGGGGACATTAGGTGAGCTATTTTCTCCAGATTCTTGGAATATGACTGGAAAACACTCTGAATCTGTGAATACAAGGAACAATATCTGTCACAGAGGCATGCATTTGAGACAGGGACCATTTCATTCAGTGACTTGCCCCTATTGTACATCTACTTTAAAGAATGGGAGTTACGACTGTCGTAGTGTGAGATGGTTTTGTGGACTGTGATTCAGGCCGCACCACAGCCACTGCTTCTCCCAGGCTAAAACTACAATACATATTCACAGTCCTCTGTGTTCTCAGGTGATTCTGACATCAGTAAGATGCAACCACACTCTGTTCACTGAACACTGAAGTGGCTCTTCTTCATACTGAAGCAAACTATAGCACTGATCTGTACCAGATCTTTGCTGGAGAATTGAATATTGCTTTCTTCATGTGTCAGCTTTATAAACAGATAGTGCTTATTTAAGGCAGTCCTACAAGCATTCCTCATTAACTTGATAACATTGAGAGTTCTGCTCCTGAGCTATGACCTGTGCTAAAACCTGTGCTATAACTTGAGCTATACCCTAGGCTATGACCTGTGCTATATCTTGAACTATACCCTATGCTATGACCTGAGCTATTACCTGTGCTATAACTTGAACTACACCCTAGGCTATGACCTGAGATATGACCTGTGCCATAACTTGAACTATACCCTAGGCTGTGACCTGAGATATGACCTATGCTATAACTTGAACTATACCCTAGGCTATGACCTGAGCTATAACCTATGCTATAACTTGAACTATACCCTAGGCTATGACCTGAGCTACAACATGAGATACACACCATGTCCATCCTGTCATCCTCTATGTTCTGCAGCTTGTGGTCAAGCTCTGTGATCCAGGTCTGCCTGACCGGGGTGTGGCGTTGGACATCCTCCCATAACCGGAACAGGTCCTCCAGACTGAAGAGTTTCAAATCCTGAAAAGTACAACTCAGATTACAGATGTTGCCAGTAATTAGTCTTGTGCATCCTCCACACAGCAGCATGTAAATAATCAAATAATAGCACGAGCAACAATCCACTGGGGCACAATGACACAGTCACCTAAATTAAAATTGAAAGAAAAATCTACTCATTTCATAGAATTTAACTTGATCAAGATTACACTTGTTAATAGTGCCAGTGTATAGAAGATGCTACCTTACAATTGAAAAGTGATTTCATGGTTCACCATTGCTATGCCATGATGTCACATAGCTAGAATATGTTCACTTCCACTAACTCAGATTCCAAACAGAGAAAAGTCTGATATTTGGATGTCTTGAAATAAGACACCTATGGTTAGATTGGGCCATGCATATCTCATGACAATGCTGATGTCAACTGACAAATCTATGATCAGGAAAGTGACCAGGCAATGCAACCAGTCAAAATTTACAAAGATTTACTGAGTGAAATTATCCAACGGTTTATATCTCCTGTAGAGCAAGTACTGAATAATTAAAGTGAAATACTGCTAAAGAGGCCTTAAACCATTCAAGTAAACCCCACTCACTCACTTACTCACGAGTCAGGCCTTACAACCAACAAGATTTCAGTAGATTGCTGGATTTGTAAAGCATGTGTACTGCCAACTAGGCGTCAACACATATTTTCCAAATCTTTTCATGTTTTGAATCAAGGTGCTCACATGATTTGAGGCACCTCATGAAGTAAGACGTGTTTTATTACCACATAGATCTTGGTTATCAAACAGGTCGTCTTAAGTGGGCACCGCCATTTTGTTTAAAGCAAATGCAAGTGTTATGAGAGATGGAATCTGATTGGTCAATAGGAGGGATATAGAAGGGACATAACTTGTAACAGCCACTGGTGGCACTAAATTCCAGCCTAGTTCAGCAAGGATGGAAACTGGACTTAACTCCACTGCCTCAGGAAAAGGGTAGCAAATATACCCCTGGAGAATTATTTAAGCACATTGTTGGCTTACGTTGCAAGCAATACCAGACTATATGACCTACCTCATCCTTCTCAATGGTAGCTAACAGTTTGGCGATTTCACCATCATCATCTTCCAGCCTTCTCAAGGTCATGTCACTCAGCTCAAGGACACGCGGCTCAAGTTCCTAAAATTGAAGAAACACTTTGGTAATAATCTGTCTTAGAAATACATGTATGAAATATGCATCAGCAGAGAGCACCAATTTATGAGTGCAATTTATGCTACAGTCAGCAACTTGTGAGCAATATCACATCAGCAAACATGGCAATGGTCCATATCAACTTGGCTGACACACAATGAATACTTTTACCCTGGAATCCAAACAGTAGTTCTACTACTGACCTTGTAAAGAGGAGAACTTGTTTGCAGAAGAGGAGAAGACAGAAAGCAAGAGTGGTAAAGTAAAGGAAGTTTAAAAAAATATATTGACACTAATTTGGAAAGAATATTTTTGAAATAAATATTAAAATACCATAAAATATTCCGCAGATTTCAATTCAACAAATAACTTTTTTTTGGCTTTGGAAAGGGTTTTGTCGCTTTTATGTTGTATGTATTCACTCTTGTCTCTAGCGAGAGCAAGTGCTCGGGGGACGGACAGGTGGGCAGCAGCCCAGTGGTAACGTATTACTTATAGAATATTCCGAATAGGAAAATTCTACAAATGACATTAAGTAATACTTAACCACTGTTATACCGAGGCTGACTACCACAGTAGGCGGTGGGGAGCACCTACAACCCGAAACCTGACTGCTCGTGTTCCTTCCGACCAGCGGAAGTATACAACAAGGTGGAAGCACTCGATGCGCATGCTCCCAGCTTGGCGTTACCATATAGGGATACCAAAGCACTGTCAAGCGCATACCGTAAGGCTTAATCGTTATTGCCAAACGATTGGTGACTCCAAACGGCCCCACTGGATAGGTATTTCATCGCTGCAGCGGATGAGAACACAGTATCCGTGTGAGCTAAATCTTAGATCAGGTTAAACAGTCGAAAAGAGGGAAATTAATTTCATTCGGCCCGTATATCCCAAGAACAAGCCTACTTAAGCATATGTAATAGGCGCGTGATCCAAATTCAATATTTGAAAGCATGCATTACAAGGTTGCAATACACGACAGACAATCAAGTTAATAATTGTCAAATCAAAATAAAGAAACACACAGAAAGCTGCACTCACCTGTGGATGAGCACGCTGGCTTGCAGGACCCCCACTCCCGTACCCACGGCTGTGGGAACGTTGGAGTAGACCCAGATTAACCACCGTGCAAGGTCTGAAGCCTGAGGAGTTCGGAATTGCGCTGGGCACACCCCTTAGATGACCGCTTGTGCCGCGATCAGCGTCCCAAGACGGTGGACACCTTCCACGTCTTCATCAGAGACCTTTCTGAGGTAATGATTGGCAAAAACTGAGTCAGAATGCCAGTAACAACCCCTCAATATTCTGTGAACAGATATATTGGAGTGTAGGGCAAATGTTGCCACTAGCGCCATAATCTTGTGCGGGTTTGACCCCGCAACCTGTAACCCCCGAGACCAGTACGCCAGACTGATGACAGAACGAAGCCATAACGCAATCGAGTTGCGAGTTATGTCAGCAATCCGATTAGGGTAACACGATATGAACAGACGGTCACGCCCTTGTCTACGTTCATTCGAAGCCTTAAGATAATACTTACGGGCCCTAACCGGACACAGAAATCTGTCCTCGGTATCAGCAGGATGTAAGATTTCTTTGAGTGATCTAACAGTGAATTCTCTCTCCGTTTGGCCAAATTTCTGATTCTTAGCGACACACGTGCCGCCATGGCAAAGGAGAGGAGAAATGCTGTTTTCCTAGTCACATGCCGAAACGAAGAATTTTTCAAGGGTTCATACGGAACTTCCGTAAGCGATTTCAACACCAGGGAAAGATCCCAGGCAGGAGCCCGAAGGCGACCTTTCTTAAGATCTTGCTGTTTGAAACCCTTGATAATACCCCGAATCACCGGCTCTTTTGAGAGACTGGTACCCATAGCAACGGACGAGACATAGTTGGCAATGGAACCCCCGGAGAGTTTCCGGGTCTCTCGTAAGTGAGACATGAAACGAGCAATATCCTGCACAGACACCTTATCTGGCGAATGAATATGATGTTTACAACACCACTTCGTGAAAATAGCCCAACGTGCATTATACACCTTCTGGGTAGAATCACGATGCATACTAACGTATGCCTGAGACACCCGACGAGAAAAACCTTTACTCCACAGACGCTCAGTGACAACATCCACGCGTTTGGATGAAGCTGACGGGTGTGAGGGTGGATCAGGAGATCCGGTCTCACAGGCAGGGGAAGTGGCGACTGCGTGACCTGGGCCAGCAAGTCAGGGTACCACAATCTGTTCGGCCACATGGGCGTGATCAGTAACATTCGACAGTGAACTCCTCGGAGCCGGCTTAAAATGAGTGGTATTAACGCCGTCGGCGGGTAAGCATAAGCGTCCATACCCGTCCAGTCTAACGCGAGAACATCGTGATCGATGGCCCTCGGGTCCGGGACTGGTGATACAAACAACGGGAGTTGATTGTTGAACCTGGTTGCGAACAGGTCGACCATCGAACGACCCAAACGTTCGCACAGCCACTGAAACACTACTGGTTGAGCATCCACTCTGTGGGGCTCGGATCCCGAGGCCTCGATAGAGCGTCGGCCAGTACGTTCCGCACACCTGGGATGTGACAGGCGCGAACCTGGCACGGGACACCGTCCAACGTGAGATTGAGTAGCGAGTGACTGTGGGTTCCCCCCAGTTTGTTCACATAGGACACTACAGTCGTGTTGTCGGTCGCCAGCATGAGCTGGGCGTCGACGAGACGATGCATCCAGTGATTGACTGTGTTTATCACTGCTTTGAACTCGAGGCAATTGATGTGAAGACCTAGTTCGTCTACGCACCACAGGTCCGAGCTCCCCTCCCCCTCTAGATGGGCGCCCCAGCCCCCCTCCCCCTCTTGATGGGCGCCCCAGCCCACTAGAGAGGCGTCTGTATACAGGGCCTGGAAGGGCCGCATAGAGACTCCTGATAAGACGTTGCAAGGGACCGTCCACCACTGCAGATGTCTGGGGGGACAAAGAGGCGATGGGTCACCGCGTCGAACCGACCTCCGATGAACTTCAAGTTCTGTGAGGGGGTTAACTCGCCTTTGGGGAATTTTGACAATTGCTCCAAGAGCCGAAGTGCGAAATCGAGTTGGCGTGACAGGGTGTCCGTCATTCGATGGGCCACTAGCGAGTCGTCCAGGTACGCGAAATACCTGACACCCCTCCTGTGGAGGAACCCCACTATGGGAGTGGTTAACCGGGTGAACAGCCAGGGAGCAGACGAAAGGCCGAATGGGAGAAAACCCACTCGTAGTGCCTGCCTTGAAAAACAAACCTGAGATACTTGTGATGGTCCGAGTGAATCAGAACATGCAGATAAGCATCCTTCACGTCGATCGAAGCGAGCCAGTCGGCTGGCATGATCAGAGCTTTCAGGTCCGCCAAGGTCAACATTCTGAACTTGGGCGGCTTGTGCAGGTAACACTTGTTGAATGAATTCGGCACTGTCCTTCTTGGGAATGAGAAATATCCTGGAGGAAAACCCCGCTGTTATTTCTGGTAAAGGATGGGAAGATCGGCTTCCGAATAGAAACTTCCAATGGGGCGACGGTGAGCGGCGTATCCGCTTTGAGATCTAGCAGATAGCCGTACAGGATCGTGTTGACCCCCCACGGGTCGCCTAACACTTGTTCCCAATTCTCTCAGTAAGTCTGGAGTCTGGCTCCGACAGGGGAAGGAAAGGGAGGCCTGACAGGCTGCGGCAGGCGCAACTGTCCAGGGCTGAATGACTCAGGTTCACCTACTGGCCAACCGAAGCTGGCGCTGTTGGCACACGCACCTTGCAAGTGGGAGTCATTTGGAGGAGACCTTACTGTCCCGAGACAGTTTAGGCTTCCCCCGAAAGGGCGGCATGTTGCCCTTACTGGGGCCCTAAGGGCGGGGTCTCTTCCCGGAGAAAGAAGACATGGACCCCTTGGACTTCCCGGCCGCAGCATCCTGAGGGGCACTCCATTTAGGGGCACCACCCAGGCGTCTGTGCTGAGACCCAACCAGATCCAACGTATGCCGCGAAGCCGCGGCAGACGAAGCAGACTGCTGTTCTTTTAGAACACCAGGGATCCGATTATTAAACAGGGTCTGCTCAGACCAAGGCTGCGAAAGGAGCACCTCTTGGTTGGCGGCGTCCAACCCAGAGGAGGCAAGGTACGGCCGCCAAGGGATCCGTCGCCGTGGAGGTAGTGCCTGCAATAGGTGCCTGACCGCGAACGGAGCACCTGTATCGCGCAAGTCCTCCAGCCCTAGACCCTCACACAGGGTGCACCGGGTGTCCTCGCAAGGGACCCTGCACCGCGGGCAACTGTCGTGAGGATCCCGGGAAAACCTTCTGACAGGCGCTGCAGCGCCTGTTAACAGGAGTAGCCAGGGTGCTGGACAAAAGATCCATTTTCATTGTCAGACATTGTTTTCATGTCAGTCGATACACGTCTTGCTATGGCAAGCGAAGAGACAAGAGTGAAGGGTGTCACATGGCAGCTAGGTGGCTACGCATGTGCTGCATGAGGTGATTGAGATCTCTGTGGAAGATTTCGCTATAAGAGCAGCTGTGGGGGACAACAGCCTCAGTATAACAGTGGTAACATATTACTTAATGTAATTAAAGAGGACAAGTTCTGAGTAGGGTTGCACTATATGGATAGGGTGATCCTAATGGTTAAAAAATCACTGACGGTTACTAAATGTGACCGAAGGTTTGTCCAAAGTATGGCTGCCATGAACTAGTGATGGTACTTACAGCACTGATGACACTCAGCTCCTGATGCATGTCCTCCACAGCAGCTTCATGCCTGCAACACACCAGTCAGCATGCATTTATATATGAACACACAGGCCTACCATACATCCACAAAATTTGTGATAGAAAACATATGATGTCCGAAAACTTATGAAAACTCTGATCGAAAACAGGACAATCCGCGACGGTTGTCCGGCAACAAGATAATATTTTTTTTTAAATCTTTGATTATATTTTTACGAGGAAGGTGATTTTTTCCAAGGACTACTGTTTGAAAAAACGTGATATTCTGCGTTTCCTCGGAGATTTCACATCCCTGCACATTAAAACATGCTGCCTTGTACAAGCGAGTCATTCATTATGGAACCATGCACTACATAACAACATTTGCCTCACAGTGTCAGTAAAATGTCCCTGTAGGGTTTATACAGGCATTGATGCTTTATGACACCAAGTGAAAACTTCAAAAATGTTACAAGTAGAGAGCACATGGGAAAACTATGCTGCCTATGCTACAACTTCTCAAAAGTCATCGTCTTTATTACTTTTGCCTTAGTACATAGCAAGGCTTTAATCTCACCTCTCCTTTCGGCTCGCAGATATCCTTTGAATGATGTCGGACTCCTCCTTTGCTGGCACTGCCAGAACAAATATCATGTTGATGGAAATGTGTTTACAAATAGTGAAAATATGTCCTGGGTTGAACTGTCTTGTTTGTTTTTAAATATAACATGTACTCAGTGCTGAATGTGTAATTGTAGTTCCCTTAACTTTAAATATATAAACATTGTACAAATCAGTTACAAAACTGTAAACAAAAGAATTTCGGTTAGACTCAATTACTAAACGTGCTAAATGGTTGCAACTATGAAAGACCAAATGAAATCGGATCATGCCAAAATATTTTATCTACAAAATATCTCTATACAAAGGGTTTGCCAATAGGTGTTTCTGTTCACGCACATCGATAAGGAATTCAGTGTTGAGCATGTCGAAGGGCAGGCTCTACTTCTCTACTGCTTCAGTGTTGTATATCTCATCTAGGCTCCGTGAATTCATTATTAGATTTTTGTCCACCTTCTTAAACTATGTCAAGTGGAAGGCATTTTTATTATGTTTCGTCCTTTATCAAACTAGTCAAGGAATTTGTGTATACTAACTACCGATGGATGTGATTGGACCATGTATAGTGTTTTTATCAAGTAAAGAAAAGAGGGAACACACAAAGGGACTTTTTTGTCTGCAGATACTTGGGTCCTAAAAAGTGAATCTCACCGACAACATCCGGTAATCCTCGGACTTCCTTACTGGCCAAGTTTCCATCTGTTTCCTTCCGGCGAGCATTTACAAACTCTGTGAATTGTCTGAAATTTAAAAACAGTTTCTAAAATCAGTGGGAAGTTTTACTTAAATGACATAAAAGTTGACTACCAACAAACCTGACAAATGCATGAGAGTTAGACACAGTGGACTTGTTGGGTATGGCCCATGGTGTCTAACCCTGCTGCATAAATCCTCGCAGCATGTTTTGAGCACTATTGAGGGAGTTATTTCTATGAACCCTAAATAGGTTTGGTGCCTGCAGTAAACCACACCTCAACCATCTTCCTGAGGCAAGGGCATTTACTGACTATAACAGTCCAGATTCCACCCTTACTGAAGTAGGCTGGAATTGTGGAGTTCTGTTATGGCTATGCTTATCAAAACTGTGTAAAGGACTCCATATCCAGTTCATTAACAACATGGTGACGAACATGCAGATTTTGGTTGATTACAGAATTTGCAGAGCATGTGTACCGTTAACTGGCCGTCGACAGATATTTCCACATCTTTTCATTTTTTTAATAAAGGCCCTCAAATGATTTGATGCACTTCGACATGTAACACCCGTTTTATCACAATAAAGATCTTGACTATCGATCAGATCATCTAGACTGGGCACCTCCATTTTGTTTGAAGCAAATGCAAGTAATATGATGGGTAGAATATGATTGGTCAATAGGAGGGACACAGCTCGTAATCAAGCCACAGAATTCCAGCCTAGTTTGAAATGGGTGGAAACTGGACTTTTGTAGTCAGTTAACACACTTGCCTCAGGAAGATGCACCTCAATGTAGAAAAACCTTTTCCTTACTTGTAAAGAACGGGGTTTTCCATGTGCGGATCATTTGGGAAGCTCTCCACCCATGTTTTCTGTCGTTCTGCAAGTATACCGTGCTGTGTTTCATCACGACTCAAGTGCACTGTTGGGATTCCTGTGCCCTCTCCTGGGGGATGCGGCAGGCGCTCCTTCCTCTGAACACTGGTCAGACTCTTGTTCAGCTGCACCTGGGAACAAGTTGGAAAAGACCTTTTCTTAAAAACAAACTCTCATGAAATTAAGCACGAAACTCAGAGTCAAAGTGTCCTTGTAATAACAGTTTCAGAGATTTTGTTACAATCAAATGGCATGAGGACATATTCATGATTTCAGCAATATTTTAAAGGATCATTCTTCTGTAACAAGAATAACGATACCAAATCCTAAAAAGGTCAATTTTGTATGAGAATCAGTCAATGTCATACAAAATGAACAGATCTGAAACTATGTTAGCTGTTATCATAGTAATATACACAGTTGAAGATTTAGTGGCTCCAAAGATTAAAAACTATATATTTAATAATTACATATAAGCAAATCTCAGGGAACCCATTGATTTCAAACACTGGTAAATGAGTAATACAATAGGCTACAAAACAGTGAATAAAAAACTAATTGTATACATGTAATATATTCCTGAATATATGACTTTTAAATTAATCAAATAGCTTGAGTTAGTAACACAAGTCTATGAATACACAAAGCCTTTAAGAAAGCCGCTACAAACGTTATATTTGGGATAGCACTTTCTTGGTAAAGGACAAATTCACGTAATTGAAACACACACTCTCAGAGTGAGAATCCTAATCATACTAAAATTTATACTTTACAAAGAAGGAGTTATCTCAACACATTTGACCACTTTCTAAAAGGCATCGTGTATTCATAGCTTTCAGCCATGGGAACCGTGCCAATCTACACTTGTCAGAGGGGTACACAAAGTAGGTGATCTAGACTACCAGTTGTCCGACTTCCTTTTTTGAGGAAGCCTCGGTGGCTGAGTGTGTTAGATCACTGATTAGGAGCCTCACTCTCAGAGTGTGGGTTCTATTCCCGGATGGGACTCAACCCACAAAAGTTACTTACAAGTATGGTCAGTCAAGCATTTCATAAACAAACATTTGTAAATAGTTTGCAAACCAGACAAACATAGCCAACTGTTTAACATAATGATACACCATTAAAAAGGATGCTAAAGTAATTGGCTATTATAATATGCTTAGGTATGTATCTAACTTGTAGTCACTTACAATTTGCACAAACCATCAGAAAATGGTACTAATCTTCAATGTAGCCCTCATTGCAAAACTGTCACCATCTTTTAGGATATTGTAAAAGTAAATACATGTCAGTCTCTGTTCTGTTACTATACAGTGAAACTCAGCCAAAAGCGACACAAAATTATTAAACATGTTAAGTATCCTTTTTATATCACCATTTCTTTACTGTTTGAATTTTGATATATATTCTGACTAGAAGTAGAAATATACCAAATGCAAATCTACCATCTATCAACTGATCAACAAATCAGTTACCCAATTGCAATATAAAACCGATCATTATAGTTTGAAAAAAAAAAATCTCTCCATATTATTCTGTCCCAACATTCTGATACTCATGCCCTTACAAAAAGTAGTAAATAACAGACGTTTGTACCTACAAATAAGAAGTCATACTCACTACTCCACAAGATGTGTAAGATACATTAAAAGATTTTTACCCAGAAGGTTAGAAATAACTGAGGTCATAAGAATCCTATTTTGTCTTGGTTTGTCGCGTATATATCACGAACTATTTCGCCATAGTTTACTCGGTACATATTTTTTATTACAGAAACGAATCTTACCTGGGCATCAAACATCTGACGGTAAACCTTTCCGCTCGGTACAACCCGAATTGCTCTCGTTTCTGCCATGTTTAGATCAGTCGGCATCGTGTTTACTATTTCCGACTACAGCAGGTCAGTGTTTGGGAACGTTTTGTATCAATATTTTGTACCCATATATCGTATAATAATCCGCATTCCTAACACTTAGTTAAAAACACGTGTCTTAGAAGATAACGAGAACCTGCATCAGTTCATGTTTACAAATATTATCGGCGCCATATTGACACTTCCGCTGTCCCCAAGGCAACATGAAATCTCGCGAGACTTTTGTTGTTAAGACCCGGAGAGAGCAGGGACATATCAAACCGGACCACAATTAACCGCAAGCAACCGTTTATTCTAAAAATACGAACCTAAATTACAAATTACAAGGGACGGTTTTTACTATACTCTGCCTCTATATGTCTCCTAAATAAAACGTGCATTTACCGTTAACAAGCAAATAATAGGAAGACAGACACTCTTCCTTCTGTTATTTGGACCATGTAAATGAGGAACACTGTATTTATCAAGACTTTGAATGGTGTATATACTCCGAAATGTTGTGTTCCTCATAATGAAGAAGTTGACACCCTTCAATTCCTACTAACTTACTTAGTTTTGGTTTTTAACGTGCGCTTTCCGGCATATGCGTATTTCGTGTAAGGGCCCGCGGCCGCCAGGCCATATAGTGATGTAGTAGAGAGTGAGTGAGTGAGTGTGGTTTAATGCCGCTTTTAGCAATATTCCAGCAATATCACGGCGGGGGACACCAGACATGGGCTTCACACATTGTACCAATGTACGTCGGGAATCGAACCCGGGTCTTCGGCGTGACGAGCGGGCGCTTTAACCACTAGACTACCCGACCGCCCCGATGTAGTAGAGAAGTGTGTGTCCGAAAGGTAAGGCAACCTGGAGGGGCTTTATGGTCGCATAATTAATTTTGGCGGAAATTTGGAATTTTGAAATATGCCATGCTAATAGGGTGGGTGAACTAAAGGAGTTTGTGTGGTTGTGTGTTTTTATAGATTGATGATTTATCTTTTATTGGTAGCTTGTTTGTTGTGTTTTACATTGTGTTGTAAGAATGTTTGCATTGTGTGGAAGGATGTTTTCGTTGTGTGGAAGGATGTTTTCGTTTTTGTTGTGAGGAAGGATGTTTTCGTTGTGTGGAAGGATTTTTTCCTGTCATGAAAAATGTTTGTTTAACCTCTTTAGGAAGACAGTTATGGTAAAAGATCTGAGTTAATGAGATTGGAAAGCCCAAAGTGGCGGATGTCGCAGACGTTTCCCACTTTGGTGAAACACACGACCACGGGTATGGTGTTGACAAACCAAGCAAAATAATCAAGGCTACCCAAGCCTCTACCAATTACATTAGGCCAGGAGAAATAGAGTAAATACATATAAAGTTTGCAATCTCATTGCCCTCCCGTGGTATAGTACGTTGATTTTGTTGATGCCACAAGGCATTGTGACACTCACAAGATACTACTTTAGATATTTCCTATATTTAATTTATATGTACTCTATACCTATAGTTTTAATCAATTACATGACACTATTTCCTTATCAATCAGAACCTTGTACACAATAATCAAGTGGCTCGCACCTCATTGTGATGATAAGCAGTTATGTCCCCTTTTCTGTGCGCGTGTATACTCACTCTCTGTCGTCTGTTGCTGAAAATCGATTTTCGTAATTTACGGAAGCTAATTTTCGTATCAAATGTATTACGTTATACATTAAACATCAGCACACACATCCATTCGTTAGGTCGTAGTGTCGTGTTATATAGTCGGTGGTCGACCCAGTGCACTGCGACCGCAGTTATCACTCAACTGTCACTTTCACATAAACATATGTGTGTCAGAAAATTATCTCGGCCCTCAGAGGGCTAGAGGGAGCTATTGTACACCTTTGTGCGAGAGACGTAGCAGTATAAAACTGCCCTCGACAAATCAGTCTTTATAACACGTGACTTACCATGTTGTTGGTACCGTTACCAACGTTTGGAGTGTGTGCTTTGCGACACCATGAATACTCTGGCTACACCCGACTGCTATGTTCCTGATTCCAATCGTCCAACGACTTTCTTCCGTTGTGTATCTATTTGTCGAGACATTACGTGAGTGAGTGAGTATGGTTTTACGCCGCCTTTAGCAATATTACGGCGGGGGACACCATAATTGGGCTTCACACATCGTGCACATGTCGGGAATCGAACCGGGGTTCACGGCGTGACGAGCGAACGCTTTAACCACCAGGCTACCCGACGGCCCAAGAACGCAGCTGAACAGTTTCTGACACATAACGTGTTGCCTACGAAACCCACCTCTTCCCATCCATAGACACACCAACTGATCATTCGATTCTGTGGTTTTTGGGTTGTGTAGTTGATCGTTGCTGTGTTTTGATGATCTCACAATGACATTTCAGATTGACTTCATATATCTGCGTCACATATCGTTTAAAGGGCAAGTGAAGTCAACATATAAACTTTTGCAGATTTTAATACTTTTGGGCATACGTAATCACAAATGCTTGACCAAAATTACGCCCCCCCCCCCCCCCCCCCCCCCAATAGCATAAAAAACAGACGATAAAACACGACAGGCGAATTGTCCCCCAAATGAAAACTTCCTCCAGTAAGGAGATCCTCATACTGGAGGAGGTTAAAATGGGTTCCCCGTATTTGACGCACTGCTGTTTTCACCGATCAGGACGATCGGCCCGACGCCCTGTCTGCCTCGGATGTTGTAACACATTATGCTGCTCATCCATTTGATTGGAAACTAAGGTAATATGTGTATGTTTTCGACCTTAATTTTACAAGGGTACTTCTACAATTACTATTTACAATACTTATAAACAATATTGATTAACATTGATTAGTGAGCAAGTTAAAAGTTTACATCGCTTCGGCAACATTGCTGTCATATAGCGATGAGGACAAGGTATTCAATATACAATATTTGTCGACAAAGGACAGTAAAACAGTAATGTGTGTCTCAGTTTTAAAATAAAACTAACCTGATCAACACTAAAAACACATAAATATACAGTAGATTAAGTCTTACCAATTAAAGTCAGGATACAGACCACCAATAACCAAAGCTAATAGAATATTATAACAAACATGCATGTAAACGTGCAAAAGTAAGTTTATTTCAATTAATTTATGGAAGCATTAATATACATGTTCATTTACAAGAAAACTAAAATGTTAGAAAGTAAAACATACAGAGTGTAGTTTTTAATGACCAACAAAAAATATAACGAAGGAACGCCAGAAGACACCGACTGGCAACAATTTCAAGCTAAATAGTTAAATTACATAAATAAAAGCGACAAAACCCGTCACAAACACATGCAAAGCTAAGTAAAGTTCCCAATTTAGACAATTATACAACAAAACGAGGCAAGATTAAACAACATCCTGTGTCACAGGACACAGTGGGAACATGGCTAATCGCAAAGTAATAGCAAATAGAACACGGCACCCGACATTGCCGTACGAATGAACAACACACATAATCGGACAGTGTCTTCACTGAGAGCAGCTCGGCAACAATTTGAAACGTCAAGGGAAACATTATCTATGGAAATACTTGATAATATAAATCCCAAGGGCCAAAATCCATAAATCCATTGATACCAAGCATAAAATGTATCCTCGATTATTCAGTGTATCATATCTCCATTCTAAATGGAAATTCATTGGACTCCACAGCTGTTCGTTTCAAGACAGTTTCGAATTATGTGACGTTAAAGATAGTCGTCGTTTCAAATTACACTGTCCGTTCATGACTGTCCAAAAGCATTGGTTGCTACCCTAGGATGGTAGCTCAGGGTCCAGACGGAAGACAAAACGGAGGGATGAAGATTAAGACGCCATCAGCCATGTTTATTGGTGATGAAGTCGAAAGGGTACAGGTTGATAAAAACTGACGGAACGCACCCCGGGGACCCAGTGGCCATTGTTCCCGAGTGCGGAGACCCGCTCTGTCACTTACACACCACAGGAAGTCGGGCGGCAATACTTCATCGTCGACGTAGTCGTTAATGAGGCGACGGCCTTGACCGACGCCACGACTAGCCGCACATTTCATTTTTTGCTGATTTGTCCTTTATATAACAAAATCTGAATGGAATATTCACCCGACTGGTATTTTCATATAAATAACTTTGCATGTCTGCCGTCAAACTTACAACTACAAGTATCTTTATAGTTACATTCCTCATGCTTTTATCTTACCTCTGTTGCTGTGTTGATATTCTGTATACTACAATATTTGTTAATATAACTGTATGTCTATGTAACTCACTTGTATATGGGCCAATGGCCTTTCATCCAATAAACATTTGAATTGAATTGATTAGTCGTCTCTCCCACTCTTAAAGTCCAACTCGAAAATGTGATTATGATCTCATGTAAATATAGAACTTTGATATATTCTTACCCCCATTCAAGTAAATAAACATTAGAAGGAAATACTTGTAACTTTTAAGAGATATCAGCTGATGGTTAAAGGCTCCTTTGACCACATAAAAAAAAACCCCAAAACAAATGACCAAATCGTTTGACTGCAAGTTGAATATGAATAGATATTTATCTAATACAATGTCATGTCGTCAAACAAGACACTATTATCACAGAAATCAATTACTTAATTCCTTTCTTTTGTTGACTTCCTGAGTTTTTAGGAGAACAAACCAATCCACAAGATCCTTTCCCAGGATGTTTACCATATCAGCATCTGTTTCTAGAGCATGCAATGCCTCGGACAGAGAGGTCGGTAGAGCGGTACCCGCAGGCAGAGTGTCAGATGTTGGGTCTTGATGAGGAGGACCCCCTAGTCCTTTAAGGACCCCATCTAGACCAGCAGCTACAGTGGCCGCTAGTGTCAGATAAGGATTGCTCTTGCCACTTGGGATGCGGTTCTCCAGGTAGACTCCTCGGTTTTCAGTATCTGTCTTGACGCTCACACAAGACAGGCGATTGTCAAAGTCCCAATCTATTATCCCTGGTTTTCTAGGGAGATGTAACCGTGTGTAACAGTTCTCTGTAGGACACCAGAAGGCAGTTAGTGCTCTTGCATGCTTCATCAGTCCACCAAGCCAGCATCTTCCAAAATCAGACAATCCATCAGGGTGGTTCGAGTCGCTGAACACACAATCTCCATTTTGAACAGACCACACTGAGTGGTTGAAATGCAGTCCAACTTCCCCTGTGGGCTGCTTTGATGTCATGTCTACTCGATAGCCCTTCTTATCTGCAATTTCGTGAATGCCATTTCGAAATTTGAATGCCGAGTCAGCAGCTTTGATGCCAAAGGAGGCCTTGATGACTGCCTCAAAGAGTCCAGCATTCCATTCTGCGTGAAAATTTTCAATATCCACATCTGCATGATGCATTCCATTTTCAAGGGCAAAGAGAAAGCTGCTGTGCTTGGAGTGATGTCGGTGGCTCATATGACAGATGGTTGACACTGGACTGTTGTTTTCATCATTTAACATAAATTCCATTTCAAACCCTGACAGCATTTTGTATCCATGGTCTGACAAACGTTGAAGTTGTTGCTTGGCCACATAACGAGTACAAACATTCAATGGAGTTCTGTCCTTCAACCAGAATGCTTCACAAATGACCTCAGCAACTTTGAACTTGTCCTCACCATCCCACGTAACGGCATTCAAAGTTGAAAGGTCGGGGATACCGATGATGCATGTTTTGTTTGGATCGATCAGGTTTGTTTGCACCGTTGTAAGCCATTCTCCGAGCATGAGCGCATCTGAAACAGAGGATGGTGAAGTAAAGAATGAGTACATCACATAGATCCTGGCCGAGCCGTCCACCAACATCGACCAAGCTTACTTCATCAGCCATCTCGTCAACTAGAATCACACACTGCAACTGGTGCTGTTCATTGCGTCCGTGTTATACAGGAGAAACATACTATATTTTAGTGTTGAGCTAGGTTACCTGTAGATTTACCATGCAAAATTAAAAGAATTTGGAACCGAACACGCAAAGTTCTTGATGTCACGGTACAATTGAACAAATGCAATACACATTTCCCTAAGGTTGGCATTTCTATTTTTCAAATTCAAATGCTACTATCGAGGTCATTCACATGACAACATTGATACGTACAAGTGACACAACTGAACATGTAAGCACCTTAGATATACCTATTGCATATGAAAGAATTTCTTTATGAAAGGATACTTATGTCTTTATGTCAGCATGCTTGATATTGAAGGAGAATTTAATATATTAACTTTTTCTTTGGTAGTTAATCATTTTGTTTAGTATTGCCTAAACTCACCCTAATTTATCCATAATTATAGTGGTCATATTGAAATATGACGTTTTGTATTTTTTGTATTTTTTGAATATTTTTTCTTACAATTAGCCAACCTAAATATATTTCATAACATAATGTTAGTCAGTTGCTGTCCACATAACTGACCATCATAAACCAGTGACTCTGGATTACCTAACTCAGCCAGGCTGCCATGCTTGCCCAGGCTGTAACATGTTGTACATGGCCGGACGCACTATCATTTTAATACTAGAAAGGTAGGAATATAAAGGCAATTATTCGTTAGTTACGGGGGGCGGTCGGGTAGCCTAGTGGTTAAAGCGCTCGCTCGTCACGCCGAAGACCCGGGTTCGATTCCTGACATGGGTACAATGTGTGAAGCCCATTTCTGGTGTCCCCCGCCGTGATATTGCTGGAATATTGCTAAAAGCGGCGTAAAACCAAACTCACTCACTCACGTTAGTTACGGAGTGCAAAGTCATTGCACTCCGTAACTAACGAATAATTGCAATTAATACACCAGGCAGATGATAGATTTAGATCACAGCTGCAATATTAGGTAACTAACGCATTCTACAGAATGCCCGAGTCCCTATATATACGGAGTCCAGTGACAGATACTTCACTCTGCCACGAATAAAGACTTCACGGGACTCATCTCTCTGTTTTAAGATAACATTATTTTCTTGTTAAACTCTTCTTGCCCAAAACGTATATCATATCATATGCACGCCACTATATATTTACCATGGTTTGATATCTTTAACAATAAGTTATATTTCATTTATTATACCACAAAGCAACATGAATGTGAAGTGTAAGTGTGTGTTTATTGAAGAATTGACTTTCACTTTGTGTGAGTTCATTGGAGTATGAACCTTCATAGACAAAGGACCAAACTGTATGAACGTCGGAGCTTGCGAGTATATCATTCATTATTCACTGCCCCAAATACATGCATGGCCATGTCACATATTCAGCTTCCTAAATATTCAGGTGAGCAGGATGCAACTACCTGGTGGTTAGATCTAGAAACTTGGGTTAAACTTCAAGGTACAGATCAAGACAGCGTTTTTAATATTTTGAACCTCCCTTAGAAGGACCAGCCAAAGAGTAGCATCATGCCTTGAGTGACAATATCAAGTCAGACTGGAATAGTTTGAAACAAGCTTAAATTACTAGATTTCAACCATGAGGACAATTTGATATGTCGGTATTCGCAAATCAGTCAGCAACCTGATGAATCAGAAACAGATTATATCAGAAGGTTACAGTAAGCTACCTTTAGTAAATACACACCAGTCGACATCTTAGTTGCTAACCTGTGAATGGACTGAACCCTTCCGTCAAACAATGGGTCTATAATAAAGAACCCCAAACATTTGAAGAAGTGCGTACTCAGGGTGAACTTGCAGTCAAGTCATACCTCAGCATCCAGCAGCCAGATCAAGCTAACTTCACTAAGCTATCAACGCAAGTGATGTCGCTAATGAAGAGCCAACAGAGGCCTTTGGCAAATGCAATGTCCACACAGCAGGAGACACTCCAAGATGACTGACCAACGAAGGTTCCAGTCACCACCTCGACAAGATGACTACAGCTCAAGACACGCCATCTTATGCCAGTCCACAGTTGCAGCACAGGCCACGTGCCTTCAGACGAGAGCAACTCCGACCTTCCAGCAGAAACAGTGAGTGAGTGAGTGAGTGAATATTTATAGTCACATCGGCAATATTTCAGCCATATCGTGACTAAATCAAGTTAGACAGTAATAATACATACAATGTTATTATAAAACCTGTCGTCAAAGGACAGTAAAATTACTAGATTATCACAGATGTATATTTTAAAACTAGTATTGAACCATAAAAAAGATATCACCATAAATAACAATACAGTATAAAAACGGGGCTAGGGATCGCCAGCAATTAAAGGTAGGCCACAATACTAGGAACCGTGGGGACTTACAATACTTCTGCTACCTGCACGGTTCCCCAGCAGGATTTACGCTATTCCTTAGCTGCTGGCGATTATCATCAAGTTTAGCCAAATTAAAACAAACAAGTATGCTACGACTAAAACGGTAGTAGGAATAAACTTACTTCGAATGATGTGGTCTTACATACACTCTCGGAGGACAATAATTTTACAGTACTTTAACCCCCTTTGAGGATATAGCCACTAACAATCTCAATTACAAGTCAAACACTACTGATACAGTAAAATATTAACTATGTACACATATTCAAAATTTATTTAAAACAGTTCAATTTCTTTTAAAAAGCTAATTATTAAATGAGACGAAACATTATTAAAAAGATCCATAATTGATGTTGCACTGAAATATTTATCCCTTGTGATGGAAAAATCAATACAGTCAAGCAGTACATGCTTGACTGTGATTCTTTCATCACAAGGGATGATGAATGGAGGATCCTCACCTTTCAATATATATTCATTAGTATGCCTTGAATGGCCAATACGACATTGTCGCATAATGACCTCATCAAATCTGGACTGACAAAACAAGTAGGTATAACCAATATTTGGTTTAATTTCATGTAATTTATTGATACCTACTTGGGTGTCCCACTTCTGTTGCAGGAGATCTTTAATGTAACATCCAATAACAGGTTTAATATCACTGTATGGGATTGGAAATGGTGTCACAGATTTGTTGAGCACTGCTTTTGCAGCTGCATCAGCCATTGTGTTACCAGTTATTCCGACATGGCTCGGTAACCAACAAAAACGGTGTCGTATTGTCAAGTAGCAAGAGCATTAAACAATTCAATTATTTCGATCAAAAGTGGATGTTTATATGACATGTTATGAATAGCCAGCAGGCACGAAAGAGAATCAGAAAAAATGATAAACTTCTGATATTTTGACTGTCTACTGATATATTTGAGAGCTACTAGAATGGCATTGGCTTCAGCTGTAAAAATAGAACAATTATCAGGTAATCTGGATGAGATAGTCCTGTATCCAGTGACAGTGGCGCTGGCAACAGCATCACCATCCTTAGCTCCATCTGTAAAGATTGATTTGTAAGTATCAAAAGAGTTTCTTAATTCAGTATATTGTTGTTGATAAATCAGTTGGTTTGTTTCAGATTTCTCTAGTTTAGTTAAGGTGAGGTCCACCTTTGGTTTCACTAACTGCCATGGTGGAGAAGACAAAAGCTGAGTGAGGGCTATATTTTCAAGATTTATTTTAGCAACAGAAATATGAGATTGTATTCTTATTCAAAGCGGTGGGATAAGAGAGGATTTGTTATTGTAGAGGTTTTCGTAAAGGGGATTAAAAATCATATGTCCAGTCATATGCTGGATTCGCGTTATTAGAATGTAATTTCAAGATATATTGTAAAGACAATTTAATGCAACAGTGTTTTAGGGATGGCTCATCAGCCTCCACACAAAGATTATTGATGGGTGAAGTTCTGAAGGCACCAAGGCAAAGCCTCAGACCTTGATGATGAATTGTATCTAGTAGTTTTTAGATCGGTCCAGCAATAACAACAGAGAAGGATGCTCAGTATGTGGTGGATATTGTTAATGTCCCAATCGGCATACCATTTCCAATGTTTGTGGAAAGAAAGGTTACCATACATCTGTATGTTACCAGGTTCTTCTGTTTCACCTTCAGGAACCATATCTGACAGACATTTTTGGTGTAGGAGGTTTAGTCACTCTACAACTTAACATCAGCCATGCTACATATTCACAAGATTTCCATGTCTTCACATCATTACATTATACCATCATTTTTTGTGTAGACTTTCTACAGTCAAACCATGTCAAAATCGGTCAAAATCAAACCACACAGTTCACCTGCAGGATGGATTAACCTTGCAAAACAGTTCAGATTCCTCCCCACTCCCAGGTTGATATTCCTGTTAAAATCTCCCGCTGTGAGACAAACAGAGTATTGCTACTGGAACCGTTTCCTGGACTAGAGGCACTCCAGCTTCAAGGAGCCAAATGTCTCATTCAAAGTGCCAAAGGTAGACCATGTATGAGGTTTCTCAACCCAACTGATAAATCTGTCACACTTCGTTGTCAACGAATTGTAGCCATCACTGACCCATCATCTGTCCATACACTGCAATCAGCCATTCTTCGACCATCCTTCAGTTAACAATGCAGTCCCTTATAGCCCCTCAAAGCTAAGTGCTGACCTAGATTTTGAGAAGAAGCTTGAGGGCTTCCTCTTGTGTCAAAGATCTGGTTTTGCACGAGAGTGGTCAGAGATAGGCAAAACACATCTGCATCAACATAAGATTGAGACAGAGCATACCCGTTCTGTTAGACTCCCCTTCTACCGTCAGTCATCTTCAGTTAGAAAAGAATGTGCTAAGCAAATTGAAGAAATGTTAGACACAGGCATAATAGAACCAAGTCATTCTGAATGGCATTCGTCTGTAGTCATGGTAAAAAAAATCTGATAACAGTTATCGCTTTGTGGTCTATTATCACAAGATCTATGCAGCCACAAAACCAATATTTCCCCCTCTTCCTCGTCTGGAAGATGTCATAGATGCTATTGGTGAAAATAACCAACTCAGCTGTTCTCTGTTCTTGATTGTGCATTTGGATTTTGGCAGATACCACTTAACCCGGAAACAAAACATAAATGCGCCTTGATCACCCAAGATGGCGTTTTTGAATTTTATCGACTTCCTTTCGGTCTAAAAAATGCAGCAGCAGCTTTCCAACAAACCCTTTCTTCTGCTCTTTAGGCTATGTATTGGAAGTACATCCTAATTTGGATAATATAATTATCTACAGCAGAACATTTGAAGAACACTTGCAACATCTGAGATATGTTTTTGGCAAACTTAAAGAAGCTGGTCATACCTTAAAACCAAACAAATGTAGAATTGCAGCTATGAGAGTAACATACTTAGGCAATGTCTTCAGCAAAGATGGAATAGAAGTTGACAAATCAAAGGTAGAAGTTGTTAAAGGCATCCCTTCTCCCAACCCCTGTCTTAACGTATCCTGATCCCAAGAAACCATTCAATGGATGCTTTCACCTCAGCCATAGGGTATATCCTAGGTCAAAGAGATGCTTCTGGCCAAGAATACGTCATCTGTTATGGTGGCCGTGTCCTTCATGCTGCTGAGAAGAAATGGTCATCACCCAGCTAAAATGTTTGGCTGTGTAGGAAGGCATCAAACTTTCACGGTGTATCTTACATAGCAAAAGTTTAAAGTCTTCACAGATCATCATGCTCTGAAATGGCTTAAGGACGTCAAACAGGAAACAGGTCGTCTTGCTAGATGGTCTCTCATGCTGCAGGGAAATGATTATGAGATCGAACATTGAGCAGGTCAAGTTTATGCAAATGATGATGCTCTCTCTTGCATTCCATATCCTGCACTGATCATAGAACCTGTCACTGATGATTTCCCTTGCCCCCCACACTCCTCTATCAACTACACCTCAGCCACCACTCAGTCAAATCATCATCCAATCCAGCGTTCATATGCTGAAGCTATTTCAACACCATCCTCAAATATCTCATCAACAATCCATCACAAAATTACTAAAAGTCAGATAACTTCTGCAGATACTGACTATGGGATATCTCCTAAATGTTCAACTTCTGAAAACCCTCATTCATCTGGTCAGAAGGCTATTGCACCTTCTTCAGCATCATTAATAGGTCTGTATGTTAAATTATCAAGATGAGATTCCATCAGGACCAACAGTTCAAACTATTGGAACTGATCTGAAAACAATCTTGCAGAGAGACACCGAAGTTCATCTGATTTCAACCCTCATTGACTATCTAGAGATTGGCGAGATTCCCTCTCATTACACTGATTCTCCGGTCTCCAAGGTCTCTCACAGGATCATGATCTATGCGATGGCTTCTTGTATAATTTTTGCCCCCTGAAGATCCGGGGTAGAATAGGTCTTCAGCAACCCATGCTTGCCGTAACAGGCGACTATGCTTGTCGTAAGAGGCGACTAACGGGCTCGGGCTCGCTGACTTGGTTGATGCATGTCGTCGTATCCCAATTGCGTGGATCGATGCTCATGATGTCAATCACCGGATATTCTGGTCTAGACTCGATTATTTACAGACCGCCGTCATATAGCTAGAATATTGCTGAGTGCGGCGTTAGACAACAAACCAACCAACCAATCTTGTATCATTTCTACCTTCCAAAGCATAGAGGACGCAAGTAAGGCCGTCACCCAATGGTCACACAACTGAGGGTTCCTATTTCTGGCAAGATTAGTTCATTTGTACATTTACTGTTGATATGGCAAGTGATATACATAAAGCCATACATTACATAACATGAGAAAGAGTACATCTCACGTAAACACCATCTCATGCCAATAATGGTCATGCTAGTCTATCATGTGGTTGAGCATTTACGGCATTGAATTGATATATTATGTCAAATACATTTGTATGTAAATACATTTGTAATGCTAGAATGCCGTGAAAATAAATGTTAACAGTTCCTGCATGAAATGCCTTAGCTGGAATAACATAAAATACTTCCAAGTCCATTATTATGCACAATTCGCTTTTGTAATTATATTACCGTAGTTATCAAAACAATCATGTTCAGAAACAACCAAGACAGTCGCTACTACCGTAGTTATCATAATAGCAATATCATAATTATCTATTCAAATCCATCACAAGCGATACACGTTCTACCGCACTGTATTATTGAATGTACTATCTACTGAACACATATGGAATATAGAACCTTGAAAGCGGCATATCACTATTATTTGTTATTTGGAAGATATATTACTCTGTACACAACATGAAATCCTGAAGTAGTATATCAATTCATGTCAATTCTATATTTAAGTCATTGACTGCATGTATCTTGTAATGTAATATTGTTTGAATATCTCGCACTATATGAAATTTCACTCTGCCAAGAATAAAGACCAAGAAACTCAGCAGCCTTCTCTTTGTTTTAAGGTGATAGCCGAGTAATCAGCTCTACCAAGTTAATTTCCCTACTGTCTTGGTCATTGTGACGTAACAAACGGGACCAGACAAACTAAAACGGCCCAAAATCAATCTACGTCAGTATCTTAACTTAGATTCCTGTTTTGACAAATTCCTGTTTTTAAAATTGGCCCTGGGCATGCTGGTATTGTATGTATTTAAAACGATGATTTTATGGCCAATGCCCAAACATAGTTGTGTACAAAAATCTTTAAACTGTTTTAGTTTGCTACGGCTTTCAGATAAAAAAAAATTGCTACCTGATCATTTTCTTCTTGACCTTTGAGAATGAAAGGTTGACTAGAGACATTCTTTTTGCAAACTATACCTGTGATGCAACAGGAACCTTCAGGATAGATGTTAATACACTCACCAACTCCAACAGTAACACCAATCTCCATCTTATGCTCCACGTGACGACTCGGGACAACTCTACCTTCTGACGTTCCATGGATATTGGGAAATGTGAAACGCACATAGTCGTATGAGGCTACAGTCTTTGCCATGTTCCTGTGTAACAAAGAATCAACATTGGTATCATGAAACATGGGACGGGAGTGAGTGAGTGAGTATAGTTTTACACCGCCTTTAGCAATATTCTAGCAATATCACAGCACATAAAACATGGGACGTTTGTCTAGCTGCCTATAGCTGAAGCGATGATAGTGTTCCCGGGGCCCCCACCACATCCAGCCTCATGGCACACGTCAACTTTACACTACACTTACACTACAGTATGCCTTTAACACTACACACTTACACTACACTAAGCCTTTAACACTACATGGTATCACCAGATAATTGTGACCGTTTATTATCTGGCATTGTTGTTTTATATTGAAATAACTATTCCTAAGTTGAGTAACTGTCAATTTCCAACATGCATAACCACACACAAAATACATCTTGTCCAGCTGATTTCATATATTGTACTTGAGTACATTTTTTGATTATGAAACCCGTTTAGCAGTATGAGAAAAACTATCCATTGACTAAAAAATGTATTACTACGAGATACATGCATACTGACAATGTTCAGATCTCACCTGTGTACAGTGAAAAGCGCTCGCTTTATAAGGTTGATTTGTTGCCAGTCCAACTTAGCCGCTCGTTTAACCCACACTAGTTTGCACCACTGGTGGCAGCTTGGTAGATGCTCTCCAACCTGCCATCAGATACCGACGGGTTATTCACATGAATAGAATGATTAGAAAGGTGTAATTGTATCCTAATGAAACGGTGACACATGAATAATTGAATGATACAGCAGTATTCATAAACATGGTGTTCCAAGAATACACTCTTCAAAAAAAGAAAGAAACGCTTAGGTAGTATGTAGTTCATTGAACATGACTACACAAAAGATCTGGTATATAAATTGGATATATGTAATTGGAAAGTGTTGTGGCCCGATATTCCACAAACGGTGCGTTGCCATTGTCGTTTTGCAATGTCTGTTACACACTTGTTCAAAAGTGTCATGGAGGAAAACATGCAAAAGCAAAATGCACGTGCAAGTTATGGCATTCGTAACTCGTGGTAGTGGCTATAAAAAGGCAAGCATAAGTCAATAACTTGTCATTCAATTGTCAACATTTTTCAAGTTCAAAATGCCGAGACTCAGCGCTGCCGATCGGAACATCGCCATTGGAGGGGAATCGCAGTCTTCTGTTGCACGCCACTTCAACATCCACCACAGCACCATTTGCCGCCTTTGTGACCGATACACACAGTTCAATTCCACTGAAGACCGTCCGAGAACCGGCCGACCAAGAGTTACCACCTCTGCACAGGATCGCTACATTCGACTGTTCCACCTACGTCATCGCAATGTCATAGCTAAGGAGACTGCAGGATGCACCCCTGGGTTGAGGAAGATATAGGACCAGACTGTCAGGAACCATCTTCGCAAGGCTGGAATACAACCCAGAAGACCAGTTATCGTCCCTGTTTTGCAACAGATCCATCGACAACGACGCTTGCGTTGGTGCCATACCTTACAGCCTTGGAATTTGGGAAACTGGAGAGGAGTGTGCTTTAGCGATGAATCATGATTTCTTCTTCACTGGCGAGATGGAAGACAACGTCTTTCACGTCGTCGAAATGAGCGTTTTGCCCCACATTGTGTACGTGAATTCGACAATTTCGGTGGCTGGGGTGTGGAGGGACATATCCCACACCATGGAATCTGACTTGGTTATGGTTCAGGGAAATTTGACAGCAAATCGCTACATGAATCACATTCTTCAACCTCACCTTCTTCCAATCATTGACCGCCAGAGGGAGCTGTTTTAACAGGACAACGCTCCATCGCACACAGGTTGTGTTATGATAGCCTACCTTTATAATTTTAACATCAACGACCTGCCCTGGCCGTCGAGATCTCCAGATCTTAACCTCTGCGATGAACTCGATGGACGTGAACGATAACGTCAGAATCCGCCACAGAAAGCAGGCACGCACGCACACTGCCTGGGGCGGTCACATGAGATACGCAAGAGTTCAGCGCAACATGACAATGAACAGTTTTCAATGCCTTTGAAGAACAACATGTGACTATCAAGCTCCAAAATTTCATATTTGTATCTATGATATTAAAATAGATATATCAACTTTATTAGTAACAATAAAGTTACTAAAAAGTTACCAGTGCGTTTCTTTTTTTGAAGAGTGTATAGTACGTGGCACACCCAGGACAACCAGCATGCAGGAGCCTCGTAGAATATGGCATTATCTTAATTATAACAAAAGCGACAGAACCCTTTCCATATTTCATAAGAAATCCCTGCAAAAACAGCCAATTATTAGATTCCGACTTTATCATGAGCATGTGTTTATAAATCATTATCAAGTAGTAATGAGAGCTGCTGTTCACGAAAAGGTGAGCGTATCCTGCACCACACACGTCAAAAACACATGCAAAAACACGGGGCCATATGGTACAGGTCAAGAAAGGGTTTTGCATCGGACATCATTTTTGTCACTGATGCGTAAATTTTGGAGATATCTTCCGCATGTCAACCATAAAACCTTTTGAAAGTTTTATGCCTTGAATGTTTTTCGTCTTGAATGTTTTAACCTTGATCGAACAACTTCTGAGCAAGAGTTGTAAGGCGCCTTTTGAAATCTCGGTAGAAGAGCTTGCTCGATTGTACCTAAAGCGGCATTCACACTTGCGTTAGTAGCTGTAGTTATCCTTAGGGATATTAACGTAGCCAAAATAACACTAACGTGTCAAAATATGTCAAAAAAGCTTGACTACGTCGAACAACGTTTCTATATCAAAGTGTTACCAGGGAAATGTCCTTCAAATTACAGACAAGTACGTTGTACTAGAGTGAACAACATTGAAGTACGAAAAGGGTGCTACACATCATCTACGTTTTCTTACGTTAAGCTACTTTAGACTACAGTAAAGTACAGTAGCTAGTACATTCAGGTACGTTGAACTACATTTAACAGCGTTACATTACGGTAAACTAGGGTAAACAACGCCCATTTCGCGCAAAAAATACAGGGTATATATAAGGAGACATGTGGTTTTCATCATTCTTTAACTTTTTTATTCCTGACAAAGCACATATATTTCATTTCTTTCGTCATTTTGGTCTTAGTTAGGGTTAGCTTAACTAAAGTCTAGCTATGAGAAAAACAAGAAACAGGAGAGGTTAAACCCCAGCTTCTGACATTGCTGAGGTTACTGAGGTTCATGAGAATCCTGAGGTTCCTGGTGTTTCTGGGGTAGAGCTTATATATAGTTAAAGCTGCTTTACTGTATTTAATCGGTCAAATCTTAACTTTTAAAGGTTTTCAAATATTTTGATAGAGACATCTTTGCTTAGTATTCACGCAAAATCTGAGATCATTTTGTCGAAATTTAAGGGGTGCAAAGGAGGGTTAGAACTATTGGGTCGTACTCTACATTTTGGCTGCAAAGATTAAATTTTGATACCTTATAGCACGTGCAAAAAGGGTGTGTGGTCTGTCCAAATCACCTTTATCTTGTTAAGTTATAACATGCCTTTATTTAACATGAGAGTTTCTTTCAAAATCATTAATTCCAAGTACCATATTTTGAAAAGAAAGGTGTGAAATTACTTTGTAAATTATATATTTTCCTAACATCATTATTGTTTGTTCTTGTTTAGTCTTGAATATAACAAAACTACAAGGACACAAACAAATACAAACGCACAATATAAGCTGGTACAAGGGCATTCACTTAAAAGAGTAAAACATGGTTCTTCACCTTGCCCTTAAATTGGAGGTTCAACAACGGTTCAGTATAGGCGAAAATGTGTATCCTGCCATGGAACCGACCCCGCGGGTGAGCAAAGGTAATGTTCCAGGCAAATCCGCAGCTTCTTTGCTACTACTGTGTCACGGTTACCCCAGTGTGATTCATGTCCTCCAAATTGGCTGTGTCCTGGAGGCACCAGGTACCAAGTTGTGGTTCGCATCTTCCTTGTCCAGGATCATGACATCATTGGAGGGGTTCCTTTCAGGTAGTTGTGCAGCACCACACACGTTCTCACTATCAAAGATGCAGTATCTACCTGAACCTGGAGAGTGCTAAGCAGACACCTGAATCTGTTTGCAAGTATCCTAAAGGCTTTCTCAACCACACGGCGAGCTCTTGAAAGGCGATAATTGAATACTAGCTCATCGTGTGCCAGTCCCCGGCGAGAGAATGGTTTCATTAGCCAACTCTGCATGGCAAAGGCATCATCTGCAATGATGTAATAGGGTGTATCAACATCATCAAATGGTAAAGGCTCTGCATCTGGTATACCCAAGATTTCCTGTTGTATTGATTGGTGGAGGGCAGAGTGGTTCCATATTTGGCTATCGGAGCTAGACCCAACATCACCAACCTGAATCCATAGGAATTTGTAATCTGCATCAACCAGGCCCATTAATACAATGGAGCAGAACCAATTGTAGTTATAATACGTAGAGCCTGAAATCGAGGGCTTTTTGTATGGCGATATGCTTACCATGAAGAGCACCCAAGACATGTGGAAATTGCCATATTCCTTAAAATCGCTCTGCCACTTGTTACCAATCTTGGGGTTCGATAGGAGTCTTCATAACCCTGGCTTCCATGCATGACATCCAAAATAGCCTTACACACGGAAACAATAATCCCTGAGATGGTGTTGTGAGCAAGTCTGACATTATACATCAATGAGTGGTATGAGTCTCCAGTAGCCAAGAACCTTAATGTCAATCGGGTCCTATTCTTGGTGAGACTGTCCACTAACCCTTGCTAACAGTTCATGGAATGTGGCCATGTCAAAGCGCAGAAAGTTCATGAAAGCTTCAGGATCCTCAAGTTGTAATTCTTCCATCAGGGCGTCAGACTGACCATGGATTGATCTGTGCAGAAGCCTATCACGAGCCCACCATCTTCTCTGTTTTCTCTGCTTCTCTTCGTCCTCTTCAAATTGCATGAGACACTGGGCATAACATAGCAGCTCTTTGTTGACACCAGCCCAGAACCGAATCATATTTACTCTTCTATCACTCATGTTGTGTCTGCAGAGTTCAGACAACAAATAATCAGACTGATGTCATGGGTTATAAATATCTCGTGTATCAACCCATACTTGCTACCTAGTTATCTGTAGTTTATCTTAGTTTAACTTATTTAAACGTATTACATGTGCTAAGAGCACACCTAGCAAGACGTGATATAGCATTTTCAAAACGTAGATTACTGTACAAATACTTAGTTCACTGTACCGAAACGTTCTTTAGTCAAAAAGGTAAATATGGTGTAGTGTAGTATAACCGGGTCATGTGAAGTTAAACGAAGTTAGACGGACTTGTGCCCCTAGTAAGATGTAGTTCACCGTAGTTGTTCGTAGATATTTTATGCCTTGATAACTACGATGTTCCTTACATTTGGCTACAGTAGACTATGGTTATATCTACGGCAAACTACATCTAACTACATCTAACTACATTAAACTAAGTTACTACTACGTTAACAAAAATGTCAGCTTACGTGGCTATCTGTTGTGCATGCACACCAGATAAATCCCTAAGTACGTCTTTTTCACGTTAATGGCTACCTTATGAACACAGATAGCCACGGACAGCTACAATGAACAACGTATGGATACGTTACACTACGTAAGATGTTTCTTCGCTTAAGTAAGTTATTTAACGCAAGTG